TACACGACCTCACACCCTCCCTTGTACTTGTCTCAATGTGACTCCCAACATGTTTGTACTCTTCAAAGTCCCAGGGGGAATAAAACAGCTTTGCACTAGCTGAATGACTTGCTTTCAACTTCTGTATCATGGATTCCATTCAAATTCACTGTCCTTTCTCTACCTGGGGAGGAGGTGCAGGCTTGCCATTAAGAGCCATCTGAATAGGGGCAGCCTGGCCTGCAGGAGGCAAAGGGGCAGTCTTCAGCTTCTTTGTACTAGTTTTGGACGGATGTTCTTCCTCCTCTTCATCAGAATCCTGAAGACCGTACTTAGAAAAGTGGGATACCTAGGGGAAGAACCCAACAAAATAATTTTTAATACTGTTCTATTCAAAAGCTTGCATTGTAAATTTTACAGCATTTTATTAAATATAAAAACAAAAAGAAGTAAAAAAGAGATATCATACTTTCTTGTTTTTCTAAGATCTAAATGTTTGGTACATTAGTATAGTTGCTCATGTAATTAAAGATGATATAATCTGTATTAAATTGCCATTTTAAATGCAATTACATATATTCCAAAAGAACTGTTAACTAGTTGTTCTCTAACTACATAAGGGTCTTTAGTAAGATAAATAATCCAAATGGCCTAGAAGAGGAAAGAACCACTGGGTCAAACTACCACAGCGAGGAAGATATCAAAAGCAATTACAAAGGGAAATGCAGATAAAAACCACAATGAGATACCACCTAACCCCTGTCAGAATGGCAAAGATTAAGAATATAAAAAGTGATAAGTGTTGGCGGGGATGTGGTGAAAAGGGAACCCTCCTACACTGTTGGTGGGAATGTAAACTAGTTCAACCACTGTGGAGAACAATATGGAGGTTCCTCAAAGATCTACAAATAGAACTACCATTTGATCCAGCAATCCCACTTCTGGGTATTTACCCAAAAGACAGGAGAACGCTCAGTCAGAAAAGTGCTTGCACATCCATGTTTATTGCAGCATTATTCACAATTGCCAAGACATGGAATCAACCTAAATGTCCACAAACTGATGAATGGATTGGAAAAGTGTGGTATATATACTCTATGGAATACTACTCAGCCATAAAAAATAACAAGACCCTGGCATTTGATAGAAAATGGTCAGATATGGAGGATCTATTGCTGAGTGAAGCAAGCCAGGCTATGAAAGAAAGATATTGTATGTATCCACTCAATATATACCGACTATCCGCACTCTATAATAGAGAGCAAAAATTCGGAGGACATAAAAACAGTGAAGGTACTTAATGAGAATAGGACAGTGTGGAATGGGGTAAGTGAAGAGAAGAGGATAGAGAAAGATAGCAAGTGAACAATAGAGAGACAGGACATTAGTGAGAAACAGGGGTTATCAACTGTTGATGATGACATGTATAGTATTCTCAACTGGATTGGGCTGAGAAGTATTTCATGATGGGCAAAGTATTTTTACAAGCAAAACGAGAAATAGCAATTGACTGTTTTATAAAAATAATTAGAATAATAAAAATAATGATTGGGGAAAACAGAAAAGATATGGAATGTTGAAGTGGGGAGATTAATGTCTCTGTACTGACTGACATGCATGGCATTCCCTTTTGAAAAAACAATGTAATACACTGTAAAGTTATATGTAATCCAATGTAATATAAAGAAGATTATGATGATAAAAAAAAAAAAAAAAAGGATAAAAAAAAGGAAAAAAAAAAGAAAAAAAAAAAAAAAAAAAGCAATTACATAGGAAAAGCTGATCTACTAGAAAACAAAGAGTTTTTGCCTGCTGAATTAATTTACTTAGATCTATTATGATGACACACAGAGAAATCATGCCTTAGAAGTGTATCTAAATATTTGTAGAAAGGAATACAGGATTTAAATCATGCCCTATAAAGTTTATAATAGCTAACTTTGCTCAGTTTTAGGGTGTGTAATAGGGAAGAAATCATGCTTATCTCTACATGTGTTTCATAATATATAAAAGAAAAAGAATTTAACAGACAATTTCTTCACAACATTTTGGGACTTCGACTGCAGTTAATTTACTATACCTTAAACACCCAAGAACCAGTTTCAGGCCGGTACTCTTTGAACTGAGCTCCCTGTTTCCTTGAAACTGCTTCCAACCTCCCCTCATAGTTGATATCAGCAAGTCGATCTGGGCTCTTAATTAAACAACGAGATGTCTTATCTGTTGGCCAAACTCCATCCAATGTAACTTCAGCCTTCCTGTAACGAATAACAGAGAAAAATATAAATGTCTCATATTTAAGACAAGAAAGTCAATGAGCACCTACATAGCAAAGAAAAGCAGCTATGTCACTTTGTCAGTTATTTCATAAACTTGAGTCTTGCCTCTCAAGGTAGGTTAAGTTTAAAAGTAAGGAGTAACCCCCACATTAGCTAACTCAGTATGTGGTTCTAAGGTTACAGTGCATTTATTTCAAACTAATATGGTGTATCAGTTACTATCTAATTTAGTAACATTTAAGCTATGAATTCTTGACCAAAAGTTATTTAGATCATGGCCCTATGGTAAGACCCAAATTCTTTTTTTATTTGTTTAGAAATATTTTTGCTATAAGGTGCACGAGCTCGTTGACGAGACAGAGAGAGAATGAAAATGACAGTGTTGAGTGTTGCAACAGTGCAATACTCCCTGGGGGGATGGCCATGCTGCAATCCCTTCTGCTTCATTCTCCTCTCAGGATTTTGGATATGCACACACTCACACCTGGCATGAGTTTCAAGGTGCCAGGTCTGGGACTACATGGGAATCCAGTGCTTTAACCACTATGCCACTTTATAGTCCCAAGACCCAAATCTTTTTTTTTTTTTTTAAGAATTATTTTCTTTAATTTTATTCATCATCATCATTATTTTAACATGACCAGAGAGAAACAGAGAGAGAGAAGGTAAGTGAGAAAGCAAGCCCACCAGGTCAGGGACTCGAACCACAGCTGGCTACATGGGAGTCCAGTGACTTAACCATCACACCACTGGCTGGTCCCTCCAAGACCCAGATCTTAATGTAGGCCTTAAAATACTATTGTACCTAACAATGGCAGTTCTATATAATAGATGCTAAGGTTTATTACTATACCAAATGCTTGTATAATGATGTGCCAGGAATACCACAGTACTGACCCTTAAATAACACATGTGAAGATGACTACAACTGCAATAGTGCAACACTATCAGAGTCCAAGTGCTGTGTCCTATTCATTTTGTAGGCCTTGCACCTAGTATAGTGCAATTTAATTTTTTTAAACTTAACATTTAATGTACTGTGATGAAGAAACAATACCATGAACTTTATCATCTTAACTACTTCTGTATTTCTACATGTACATTTCAGTCATATTAAGTTGAAAACCAACCTCTAGAACTTTTGCAACTTGCAAAACTCAAAACATCTTGCCTATTAGATAACTTCCCTGGGACCAGCAGATGGCATTATGGTTACAGTGCTAGACTCCCAAGTAGTCAACTGCAATCTGAATCCTAGACATGTTGGCTTAAAACTCACACTGGGCACATGTGCATATGTGCCCAAAATCCCAAGTAGAGAATGGAGAAGGGATTGTAACATGGTCATCTCTCCTGAGGGCTAACTTCTTGCTTTATCTCTCTCTGGCAAGCGCACACACCCTATAGCAAAAAAAATACTCTCTTAAAAAAGAAAGAAAGAAAAATTCCTAATTCCTCTTCCCTCCTGCCCCTAGCAACCATCACTCTACTTGTTTCTATTAATTCTTAGTTGTTTTCTTTTTAGTTTGCCATAGGGCTCATGTGCTCAGAGAAAGACAAAGACAGAGAAGGAAACTGAGAAAGCACCCCCATGGGGGATAGTCATACTGCAATCCCTTCTTCTCCACTTCTCTCTCTTTTCAGGATTTTAGGCACACATGTGTGCCTGGTATGTTTTTGAAGCTGCAGGTCCAACACTCAAACAGCATAGTGGCCATGTGGGATACAACCTCCTTAATTACCATACCACATGCAGATTCAAATTTCTTTCTTTCTTTCATGGGAAGGGTGTCAGAGAGGGAATATGAAAAAGGGGAATACTGGGGGTGGGGGGATAGACAGCACCCTCAACAGGGTGTGGATGCTGCAGTTCATCCCCAACCCCTTGGCTAGGTGTGGATCACGAACAAGTGGATCATGAGTTCAGAAAATTGAGAGAGGCCTCTACACCTTAACCAAGAGCCTTCTCATTGGGACTGTCTCATAGAGCATCATGTTCTACTACTATACCAGTGTTCAGTCCTGTTTCCATGGATTTGATTTATCCAGATACCTAATAGAATCATACAGTATTCATCTTTTTGTCACTACATTATCTCAGTTTGTCCTTAAGGTTGATCCATGTGAACAGCACAGTGTTAGGATTTCCTTCCCCTTTAAGGTTTAAGAATATTCTTTAATTCAACTGCTTTTTTTCTTAGGAAGACAGGGTCTTACTATGTCACAATCCTTCTGCCTCTGACTCTGAAGTAGCTAGGACTACAGGTATGTACCACTGTACCCAGCTTTTTAATGTGGGCTCACAAATCAAACACGGGCAGCTATCACAGTTGGGCCAAGGCTAACTCTATGATATGTATATATATCACATTTTGTTTATCCATTTACCTATGATTGAACACTTGGGTTGCTTTCACTCCTTGGCTATTAGAAACAGTATCACTAAGCTCATGGGTGTGCAAACATTTCTTGGAGATCATGCTTCTAACTCTTTTGGATAGATAACAGAAGTAGAATTGCTGAATCACACAGTACTTCTATTTTTAATTTTAGGACAAACCACGAGACTGTTTCCCATAGTGAATAAATCATTTCACATTCCCATTAAGAGCGCAAAAAGGCTGCAGTTTTTCCATATACTTGCCAACATTTATTAATTTATTTCTTTGATAATAATCATCCTAATGGGTCGTTTTACATTCCCAGTAACAGTGCAAAAAGGTTGCAATTTTCCCATATACTTGCCCACTTTTGTTAATTTATTTCTTTGATAATAATCATCCTAATGGGTGAGATATCTATTGTGACTTTCACTTGCATCCTCCCAAAGATCAGTGACATATATATATATATATTAATCATCTTTGCATACTTGCTAGCAATTTCTGTGTCACCTTTGGAGAAATGTCTAGTCAAGTCCCTTGCCCATTTTTAAATTTGTTTACTAGTTTTTATTGTTGAATTGTAGAAATTCTTTTAAAAATAAATATTTATTATTTTTAATTTGCCGCAGGGCACATGTGCGCACGAGAGAGAGAGAGAGAGAGAGAGAGAGAGAGAGAGAATGCATGCACAAGCACACAAGCCGCCAGGTCTGGGACTCAAACCATAGCTGGTCATGTGGGAGTCCAGTGCGTTAACCATAAAGCCACCTCCTGGCCCAGAGTTGTAGAAATTCTTTATTCTGGATATTAGTCCTTTATCAAATATGTGATTTCTAAGTACTTTCTCCCATACTTTTAAGTTACTTCTTTTTTGTTTTTTAATGTTTTTGCCAAAGGGTGTGTGTACTCGCTGGAGAGATACAAAGAGGGAAAATGAGAAACCATTCCCAGTGGCAATATTCACTCCGCAATCCCTTCTCCCCCACCCTCCTCTTAGGATTTTGGGCACACACGCACACATGCCTGGCATGGTTCACCAGGTCTGAGACTTGAATGGTGGTCTCACCATATGGGAGTTCAGTATCTTAACCACCAGGCTATCTGCTAGGGCTTCGTTAGGTTACTTTTTCATTCCTAACTGTATCTTTTGCCTTATGGAGGCTTTGCATGTGATATGCTCCCATCTATTTTTGCTTTAATCACTTATTGGTGTTGGTGTTACAGTCAACAAATCATTGTCAATTCCAAGGTCATGAAGCTCACCCCCTATGTCTTCTACAAAAGTTTCATAGTTTTAAGTATCTGATTCATTTTCAGTTAATTTTTGTATAAGATGTAAGGTAAGGTTCCAACTACATTCTTTTGCATGCATATTTTCTTTTTTAAAGAATTATTTAATTTAGGGGACCAGCAGATGGAGTAACGGTTACATCACTGGACTCCCATATAGTCACTCGCAGTTTGAGTCCCCTACCTGGCAGCTTCAAACTGATGTAGGGTGCGTGTGTGTGTGCTCAGATTCTTGAGAGGAAAATGAAAAAGGGACTGTGGTATGGCCGTCCTCCATAGGGAGTGATTTCTAGCTTTTTTCTCTTTGGCAAGCTCATGTGTACTACAGCAAATATATCCCTTAAAAAAAATTGGGGCCAGCAGGTGGCATGGTGGTTAAAGGCGCTGGATTCCCATATGGCCAACTTTGGTTCAAACTGCGGATCTGGCAGTTTGATTTCTCACTTTCCCTTTCTGTCTCTATCTGGTTCAATTTAATAATTATAATAACAAATGGAATTTAAATAAATAATTCTTGAGGGACCAGCAGTTGGCATAATGGCTTTGTCGTTGGACTCCTATGTAGTTGACCGCAATTCGAGAACTGGACCCAGTGGCTTAAATTCACACTGGGCACATGTGTGTGCGCCCAAAATTCTGAAAGGAGAATGAAAGAGAAGGGATTGTGGTGTGGCCATCCCCATGAGTGGTTTCTCGTTTTCTGTCTCTATGTCTGTCTGGTGGGTGCACACATCCTATAGCAGTGTAGAATCTACAAAGAATTAAAGGGCTGGCAGGTGACATGGTGGCTATGGACTCCCACATGGCCGACCACGGTTCTAATCTCAGACCTCGAAAGCAACTTGCTTTCTCACTTTCCCTCTCGCTCACTCTGTCCCTCTCTGATCAAATTTAAACAAAGTTAAATTTGAAAAAAAAAATTATTATTTAAATTGGGTCCAGCAAATGGTGTTAGCAGTTAATGTTGCTGGATTCTCACATGGCTGACTGTGGTTCAAGTCCTGGACCTGGTGCCTTGAAAATAATGACAGATGCATGAGCATGCATGCCCAAGATTCTAGTAGGAGAACAGAGAAGGGATTGTGGTGTGGCCATCCCCACTGGGGAATGATTTCTCACTTTCATTCTTACAGTGTCTGTCTGTCTGTCTCTCTACCACAGTGCTTGTACCCTAAGGCAAAACCTCTTAAAAAAAAAAAAAGGATTTATTATTTTTTAAATTTGCTATGACACGTGCACTCACAAGAGAGACAGACAGACAGAGAGAGAGAAAAAATAGAAAACAAGCTGCCAGGTCCAGGTCTCAAACCACAGTTGGCTATGTGGGAGTCTAGCATCATAACCACCATGCCCACTTATTGGCTCCACATGTGTATTTTCAATTTTCCCAAAACAATCTGTTGAGAAGATCGTCTTCTCCCTGATTTACTGATGTATATATTCTTGTTGAAATCATTTGACCACACTTTTAATAGTATTTCTTAGCTCTTCATTCTATTCTGCTGGTGTATGTTTATCTTTATGTCATTACCACACTATTCTGATTATTATAGTCTTATAATATGTTTTGAAATTGTTAAGTGTTGAGACAAACTGTTCTCTTTCAGGATTTTTTTAACTTCTTGGGGTTTCTTAACATTCCATAGGAGTTTTAGAATGGATTTTTCTAATTCTAATTATTGTAGTTTTATATTCAGTTTTAAAATTATTAAGTGTTAAGACTTCCAAACTGTTCTCTTTCAAGATATATATATTTTTTTTTTACTACTAAGGGTTCCTTGAGATTCCATATAAGTTTTATGATAGATTTTTCTATTTCTATCAAAAATGTCACTGGCATGTTGATAAAAATTAAATTTGTAAATCACTGTGGGTAGTATTAAGAGTTTAACAATATTGTCTTCCAATTCATAAACATGGGAGGGCTTTCCATTTACCTGTATCTTCTTTAAGTTCTTATAGGAATCTTCTGTAGTTTTCCAGTATATAAGTTATTTACTCTCTTTAATTATGTTTACTTCTATGTATATTCTTTTTTTTTTTGAGAGGTTTTCGCTATAGGGCGCGTGTGTTCGCCAGACAGAGAGAGACAGAGACAGAAAGTGAGAAATCACCCCCCAGAGGGGATGGTCATGCCGCAATCCCTTTTCCTCCATTCTCCTCTCGGGATCTTGGGCACGAACGCACATGCGCCCGGCGTGAGTTTTAAGCCACTGGGTTCGGGACACGAACCGCGGTCGACTATGTGGGAGTCCAGTGCCCCAGCCATTACGCTAACTGCTGGTTCCCTATGTATATTCTTTTGGATGCTACTGTAAATTGAACTGTTTTCAGATTTTTCACTGTTAGTATATGAAAACATAACTGATTTTTTCATGTGGATTTTACACCCTGTTAACTGCTAAATTTATTTATGAGAACTAACAGTTGTTTTGTGGAATATTTAGCGTTTTCTACATATAAGATCATGTCATTAGAGAACATAGATAATTGGCCTTAATCCTTTCAAAATTATGCCTTTCATTTTTTTGTTGTTGTTGTTCCTAACCACTCTTAGACTCACAGTTTTATGTTTAAGAAAAGTGGTAAAAATGGGACTCCTCCTTATCCTGTCTTAAAGGAAAACCCTTCAGTATTTTCCATTTGAAGTAGATTTTTTAAAAAGTTTATTTATTTCTCCCATGAAATAGAGAGAGAGAGAGAGAGAGAGAGAGAGAGCGCCAGCCTAAGGGAGAGTCTACTCTAAGTCTTGGCTGGTCTGAATCACAGGCATAAGCACCCAGGATGCTTAGGGATGTCTTGGGATGGGAACCCAGGATCTTTCCCATGTGGCTCTAGTTGTATTTCCAAAGTATATCCACTTGTCTGCTATCATTTAAACATTTACATGAAATCAGAGAAATAATTCTACTTTACAATAAGTCAGAAAAGCAAGTAGAAGCATGTACATAATATGAACCTACTTAGGTTTACAGAAAACAAAGACCCCTGAGATTTAGCTGATTATTTTCTATATACAAATAAAATCATACCTATTTAGCCCTTCGCCCACAGGTGGTTTCTTGCTATCATCTAAGTAGACGATCACTTCTTTCCTTCGAATATGCACAATATCATCCAAATTTAGATTTGTCAAATTCACATCTCCTTCAAAATAGATTGAACCATAACCTATAAACAGGAACAAACAGTTTCAATTTATCATGTACGAAAGTAAACACCTACTTTACACCTACAGTGATTAAACAATCAGAGAAGCAAGCAGCTTTAAATAATGATCAAAATTTTAAATCAACCAGAAATTCCTAATGGGGGTTATTTCCTATATAGGGTAAGAATGAGGACATAGGGAATGATGTCAATTATATTCACCTTTACGACCAATGGTGAAGTCAGAGACAATGCATTCTCCTTTTTCATTGGTAAATTTAGCAAGTTCTTCCATAGATGGGATAGTATAGTAACCAACCTTAGTGAGAATAATGCCTATGGCCAAAACAAAAAAAACAGAAAGTATTAATTAACTGTAATTAGACTTCGGTAGAAGAATTCTCAATATACTGTTTACATAGTTTGAGTTCAAATCTGCACAACTTAAAAAACATGTAGAATGAGAGTATGTACCTATTTCCCCCAAATCTCAACAAGATGAAAATATCAAGAAGGGACTGCAGCATCACTATGCTCCACTGGGAGGGAGGATGATTTCTCTCCCCTTCCATTCTCTCTAGCAAATGCACACGCCCTAAAGCAAGTAAGACCAAAAAAAAAAAAAAAATCCTACAAAATAAGTATTTCCAAAAATTACCTAAAATAATCAGTAACTAAATTATTATATACAGGAAGAAAGACTTTTCTAAACTAGTTTTCTGCTAAACATTATTCCTAGGAGAAACCACTTAAAAGAAAAAAAAAAAAGCTTCAGTATCAAGTTTCAGAAACATATACATTATAGCATTATTATAGACTCTGAAAATTTGTAATATATATTAAGTCTTTTTGTCTCTGCTTAATCTTGTGTTGCCTAGACTTAATTTACCAAAAAGCCCTTTTTTCAAAGGATATCCATTAACACCCCAAATTATGAAAAGCACTCTGTAGAATATACTCTAGGAAGGGACCATTAGGTGGCATAGTGGTTAAGGCTCTGGACATTCACACATGGTCGATCGTGGTTTGTGTCTCAGACATGGTAGCTTGTTTTCTTGCTTTCTCCTTGCTTTCTCACTTTCCCTTTCTCTCTCTCTCTCTGGTCAAATTGAAATAAATGAATGAATAAATAATTTTAAAAAAATATATACTCTAGGAAAAGCTTCATTAATCCACTTTTAAAAAGTTTTACAGGCTGGAGCCAGCAGTTGGTGTGGTGGTTAAGGGTGCTGGACTCCCACATGGCCAACTGTTGTTCAAGTTTTGGACCTGACAGCTTCCTTTTTCACTTTCTATCTCTCTCTTTCTCTCACTCTGTCCCTCTCTGGTCAAGTTAAAATAAAAAATAAATAAATAATTCTTTTAAAAAAAATAGTTTTACAGGCAGATAAACTAGAACCCAGGGTGGAAATAACCTGCTTTGTGTCACACTGTAATTAAGTGGTAAGAGTAGAAAATAAAATCCAAACCCTAAGCCCGATTTTCTTTTCTTCTTTTTTTTTTCTTTAAAACCTGTCTTTCATAAACTTCTAGTACCTTTCAAATTTACATCCCTACACACACAGAGCTAAAATCAAGATGAAAATCCTACACAAGAAAGTATCACATACCAAAGGAAACTTAAACGCCTGCTATGTGTATTACTAAAACTTGGTAACTTTCAGGATACCTAAGTGATATCTGATGACTAAAGAGAAAGAAGACTAAAGTGGAGATGGGTTTTACAACACATCTGAACCAACTGTGGATGACTAGACACCCCATAACCAAAAAAGCTGAAAGAAATAAAAGAGTGGTGAGATTATTAGCATGCTTATTCTAATCTAATCACTCCTTATCCCATTTATGCCTATCATGCTAAGTTGCTCTCTCAGAGAAAATTATTTAAGGCTAACATTAAGTCGAACTCTATCTCCCATTAAGGTCCACTCCTTTATTGGCAAGACTGAAAAAAGCTCCTTGTGTGGCAGCAACAAGGTCAATGACAAAAATATAAACAATAAAAAACGTACTGACAGGTATTTGAAAAGAAGATGTAATGATAATAAATTCATGTGCAAATACACAAATCTACATACTTGGAATGCACAGACACAAATACAGACACTTGATACTCTTACTGTGAAGATGAAAATTTGTTCAATACTTCCTTATGGCACTAAGTGACCATATATATATATATATATGACATGGAGGATAGGCAGCTTTCTGACTTGGATTCCATCATGACAGTCACAATCAGTGACGGCTACTGAAAGAGCCAAGAGTACTGAGTGGGGACAGTGCTGTGAGGCCCTTCCAGAGTACCACAATAGCATGTGTACCAGTATCACATTATTGGATTGTGAAAAGTATGGATTTGAGTGAAGAGGGTTTTTCTTTTTTTTTTCTGGAGAGGTTTTTACTATAGAGCATGTGCGCTTGCCAGAAAGACAGAGAGAGACAGACAGAAAGCAAGAAATCACCCTGCAGGGTGGATGACCACGCCACGATTCCTTCTCCTCCGGTCTCCTCTTGGGATCTTGGGCATGCACGCACACATGCCTGGTGTAAGTTTTTCAGCCACCAGGTCTGGGACTTGAACCACAATCGACTACATGGGAGTCCAGTGACAGCCAATATGCCATCTGCTGGTCCCATGAAGAGAGTTTTTCTGATTGAGATGACAGTTCTCCTTAGAAACGCAAGTCACAGAAACGTTTTTAACCCCTCTCCTCAACTATAGCCTTTTCAAACTGGCCAGAGTAGTTACAAACCACCTGTACCTAGATAAAAGAAGGTCAACAACATTTGGGGGTGTTGTGCCTACAGGAAGAGAATCAAGATGCAGTGTTCACTGACCCCGGTATCTTGGGATTGGAGGGCACTATTGACAAAAGCAGGTAATCTGAGACCTACAATTGTCTGCCTGCTAAGAAACTCAAAAGGGAATCTCAAAAGCATTCAAGGGAATTAGACAAGGGGCTAGATGAATATATGTATGAATAAAAAATGGGATCAAAGGGAGAGGAAAATGGGAAATAAGATCTCAAACAGAAACTACTAGTCAACAACAGACTATGAAACAGACTAGAAATAAATTGTAAAGGCTGATAATGAGATAACAAAGGAGGATTCAAAAGAGAAAGTGGCTGAAATAGTTTCTTTCCAGTTACACGAAAATAAAAATGCTGCTAGAAGAGAACACAAATGTTGGGGGGAAAAAGGTGAAACAAGCTATTGAATGTCTAAATTTTGGGGACAGGAGATGGTAAGGAGGTTAAGGCAGCTGGATTCCACATGGCCAATGCATGCTTTGAGTCCCAGACTGGGTGGCTTGAAAATCAAGCTGGGCACCACGTGCACGTATACCCAAAGCCCTGAGAAGAGAACAGGTAAGAAATGTACCATGGACATTCCTCCTGAGGGGAAGTGATCTCTCTTTTCTCTTCCTCTCTCTTCCTCCCTCTTCCTCCCTTCCCAAGCACACCCATCCTATAGCAAAACTAGAAAAAAAAGTCTTGGGACCAGCAGATGGTGTAATAGTTACATCATGGGACTCCCATGTAGTCAACTGTGGTTCGAGTGCTAGACTCAGTGACTTAAAACTCACACCGGGTATGTGTACATGTGTGCCTAAAATCCCGAGAGGAGAATAGAGAAGGGACAACAGTGTGGCCATCCCCATTCGGGGGTGGGGTAGGGTGATTTTTCGCTTTCTCTGTCTCTGTCTCTCCAGTTGAGTATACATGCCTTATAGCAAAAATCTCTCATAAAAACAAATCTAAATTTTTATAAGGATGATACATCATGAAAAATTTTTGCAAATGACACAAATGAGGACCATGCATCTCTTGATGAGTCACAGGAAGGAGATGGGAACACCAAGGTGGATACAGAGGGAGCCACTGAGGTTGATCATTTTCACAATTTGGACATCTTTTAAATATGTTTTAGAGATTTCAAGGAATAACCTTTTCTAAAATAACATTATAATTAACAATTTTTACTTAGATTGTGACATTTTACTTTGCACCGATAAACATGAGGATCTGGAGAAAGAGAATATGACATATTTATAGAATGGAATACTATGCAACAATAAAATCCTTAACTGTTAATACATGAATCAAGGTTAAGATCTCATAAAAATTTTACTGAGTCAAAAGGGCCTATATAGGAACCAAAAAGTGGCGTGGTGGTTAAGGTGCTGGACTCCCCCATGGCTGATTTCAGTTTCAGCCCTGGAACTGGAATCCTGAAAAATCACACTGGAGGCATATGCATGTGTGCCCAAAACCCCAAGAGGAGAATGGAGAACGGACTGTGGCATGGCCATCCCCTCTGGGAGTTGATTTCTCACTTTCCTTCTCTCTGTCCCTGTTTCTCTCCAGCAAGAACACAAGCTCTGTGGCAAAAAACTTAAAAAAAAAAAAAAGAAAAGAAAAACAAAACCAAAACCAAAAACAAAATCAAAAGGACCTATGTAGCATGAGTCATATAAATAGAGGTTAAAAAAAGGCAAAAGTAACCTCTGTGGCAGAAACCATATTAGTAGTTAAGTTATAGGAATAAGTATACAAGGGAAATTTCCAGGGTGAAAAGTTCCTTCCTATTTTGATTGAGGTAGTACTGGATATCCAAGTATGTATGTGTGCTAAAATTTATTGAAATGAACACCCGAGAACAATATATGCTTCATTAATTACAAATTTTACCTCCATAAAACATTAAACATTTTTTAAAAAGATAGTAAAAACATTATCCAAAACCCAATGAGATGTCAACATAGAAAAAAAGTAAAATATCAAGACATCTCAATCTTGTAGTTTACACTACTTAGTTAACTAATTCATTAACTAAGTAATGTAAACTTAGGGAATAAAGCACAGAACTGAGATGATGATAACCTCAGCAACAGCTACCACTGAATGACTATACATGTCAGGTATTATGGTCCATACATTGAATCTAACTCGAATCTTGATAATCTTATTCTATAGGAAATAATGATCACTCATTTTAATTAAAAAGCTAATAAACAATCTACCTGAGTTTATAAAGCTATGGGAAGTATCAAGATAATTTCTTTGGCTATAGAATTTGAGCTCTTTAAACTATACTAAAATAATTAAATACATCAAGATTAAATACCTAAAGTTCCCAAAAAGGATATGAATTAGGATTCAACCACAGCAAAGAAAAAGTATTAAAATAGTAACTTCTATAAAATATACATAAAAAATGGAAAAGTTCAGATAACAGACTTCTGCTATTGTGAAAATCTATGACAAACAAGTCAAGTCAAAGAACAGTAAGAGATTAAGTATGGAGCCAGCAGGTGGCGTGGTGGCTAAGGAGCTAGACCCACATGGCTGACCACAGTTCAAGATCTAGGCCCACAGACTGAAAATCACTATGAGCTAGTGTGGATATGAGTGACTAAAATCCCAGGAAGAGAATGGAGAAGGGACTGTGGTGTAGCCATTTCCTATGAGGGTTGATCTCTCACTTTCCCTCTCACTGTCTCTAGCAAACACATGCATCCTATGGCAAAAACCTAAAAGGAAAAAAATATTAAATTAACTATGTGTCAATCTGAATCTGACCTGCTGGATGCATATGATAAGTGTTATTTTCCATTTCTTCTCGGTCATCCTGTAGTGAGTCATCATGGAAAGAAGTTTCTTCACTGCTTCCTTCCAGTCCATTTCGCAAAGCAGCACGCATGTTTAATGCAACAATGGTATCATCCACACTATTGCTGCTGTTGTGCTTATTTCCAGCACTCTCTGGAGTTTGAGGAATGGGTTTAGCAATAGGATTAGTATAAAAACGTGACACAAGAGAGTCATCATCTCCATCCTGCTGATGGTTCTCATCTACAGGTTTGCTCAGGAAACTGAATCTGAAAAAGAAAAAAAAACAAAAATTATCTTACTCCTCTTGTAGTAATAACAATGATAAGATTCTTATTGAGTCTTTACTAAATGCCTGATACTGTTCTGGTTAATTGTGTACATTAAAATTTCACTTAATACTTATAGTATATTGTGGGAGTGAGCAGGTGGCGCTGGTCATCCCCCAGGGGAATGGCCATACTGCAATCCCTTCTTCTCTACTCTCCTTTTAGGATTTTGGGCATGCATGCACATTTAACAGTATGATTTTCAAGCCACTGGGTCTAGGACTCAACTGAACAGCTAGTCATGTGGGATCCAGGTTAACCTTCGTGCCACCTGTTTGTTCCAGAGTTGGGATTTAAACACAGGAAACCTGACTCTACATTCCATGTCTTTAATGGCTTTATACTAATAAACAAATGGATCTAAAGATCTATGTTTTTGTTTTGCTTTATTAATAATATGCTCTATTAATAATATGCATAGACAAGTGAGTAGTGGATAATCTCAAGCTAACAAACGGAACAAATGTTTAATATTCTAATTGGCAAGGTATTGAGAAACACCAGCCGCATGTATAAGCATGCTCAAAATGCCAAAAGAAAGGAGAGATGGAAAAGAAGGGATTGCAATGTGACCATTCTCCATAGGAGGTGCTTTTTCACTTTCCTTCCCTCACTCTCTGTCTCTTCCAAGTGAATACGTGATTTCTGGTAAAATTAAAAGGATTTTTTATTTTCTAATGAGAAAGTAACAGGAACACAAAGATGTATATGTAAGTATTTTTTTAATAGGGCATTATTCTAAGCAGAGGAACAATACTAAGGAATCTAAATTAACTAATAGAGAAATGGCTAAATTACCTTATATTCACATAATGAGTACACAATCATTAAAAAAGAAAAGGCAGATGTATTCATAAAGCTATGAAGGCATTTTTAATAAAAAACAAACGCAGAAGTTAGAGAATATCATTCTTTACCATGTAATCTGTAGTATAATTTTTACAATATATATCGATATATGTGTGTCTAGAGACAGCTGGCGGCATGGTGGTTAAGGTGGCTGGCTTTTGCATGGCGGACTGTGCAGTTCGAATCTTGGACCCAGTGGCTTGAGAAGTACATGGGGTACACATGCATGTGTGTTCCCAAAATCCAGAGAGGAGAACGGAGAAGGGAGAATGAAGAAGAGATTGTAGTGTGACCGTTTCCCCTGGGAGAGGTGTTCTCATTTTCTCTTTCTCTCTCTAATAGAAAATTTAATAAAATAATATATGTGTGTATGTGTGTGTGTGTGTGTGTGTGTGTGTGTGTGTGTGTGTGTGGCAGAATATACAACAAACTATTAGGTTGTCAGGAAGGTCATGACGTTTTCTGTTTTCTAAGCAGAAGTGCATCACGACTTCCTCAATGACCTAATACTTTCACTTCCCCCTTTGTGTATGCTATAGTGAATTTTTTCTTTGGTTCAATGCTTACGTACTATTTTAATAATCATTACAAAACTGTCCCTCATTTTAAGGTGGTAAGAGTTATCAAAGTCTTGCTAACCCTGTCCAAATCAAAAGCATACACAGATGCCCAAAACATTCTACAGAACTGAATCAGAACTTCCATTATTTTAAAATATAAAGTACTCAAAAAATTGTATTAATTTTCTAGGTGATCATAGCTATAAAACCTCTGTAAAACATTCACCAAACTTTATTATCATAAAATTCTAAGCTCAGTTAGAATCACTCAGAAATGAGGATAAGGCTCTCTACCAGAAGAACTCAAAAGAGAACTCAACATACCTCTCTCCATTTTCTGGATATTCAGAAGGCGAAGCTAGATCTTCTGAATCACGATTAACAGGAGAAAAGAGATTGCTATTGTTAAGGTTCTTCAAAACCAACTTCTTAATGCTCTTCCTATAAGGAGAAACCAAAAAGAAAGAGAAAAAAAGAACTGTTATATCGCAGACATTATCTTAAAGCCAGAATCTAAATGGGCACTACTGTGTAAGTTTATAAACTCATCCTGAAAATGTCAAAGCACAACATAATGCCTCAAATATACAAGGGCAAGTCAGAAAGACCATGGAAAATGTAAGTACATAAAATTTAGCTATGGTAACAAAAACAAACAAACAACAACAAAAAATAAATAAATAAAAATGACCCCCCTAAAACCTATACATAGGTTTTTCATACTATGCATTTTTCATACTTTTTAAAAATGCCATAGCATATACACACGCACATGAGAAAAAGAGATAGAACCCCCCACACACACACACACACCAGGGCCCAGTAATGCCACAATCCTTTTCCTTCTAATTATTCATCCCATCAGGATCCTGGCCACCTGCGCATGTGCCCAGCATGTTTTTAAAGTCAGCAGGGCCAGGAATGGAACTACAGTTGGCCATATGAGATTTAAACTTTCTCTACCAGGTACCACAACATCATGTGACTAGCCCCCGTGACTTTTCTGAAGACCCCTTGTATTACACGCTGGTATTTGGAAGAATAAAGCAAATAAGCATATTCAAATCAAAGTTGGAAATATCCAAGAAAAATATTCTCCTCCTCAGGACCAGCAGATGGCACAATGGTTGCATCACTGGGCTCCCAGGCAGTCAAACATAGTTTTAAGTCCTGGACCCAGCAACTTAAAAGTCACGCCAGGCACGTATGTTTGTATGTGTGCCCAAGATCCTGAGAGGAGAATGGAGAAGGCATTGCAGCATGACCACCTACCATGGGGGGTGATTTTTCACTTTCTGTCTCTATTTCTCTTGCCAGTAAGCACACGTACCCTATAGCAAAAATCTCTTTCAAAAAAAAAACAAACTCCTCCTCTCAACCACTTAAAAATGTCACACACTTATTTAACTTATTACACTATGTGTATATTTCAATTATTTCTATAAAGCTTTTTCTCTCTTTAAATATTTTATTCTCTCTCCTTATTTGGCAGTCATTATTATTTCATATTAATGTTTCTTCCACAAAACTTATCATGTCTTAAATAAAACTAGTACATAGGGATTTATTGAACAAAAAACATTTCTGAAAAATGTATGACAAAATAATGGAGTAAAAAACTATGATATCTAATATGGAAATGCTCACCTAAGAAGTTCAAGTTTCTATATAGCAGGTCTATTTATGGCAAGAACCCCTTATAGTGTACAAACATCTGTAGAAGAGATCTTAATCAAGCTCCACTTAAAAACCAACTATATGAATTTAAAAGAGTTCATGTATGCTCTAAATGATAGCCAGTTGGCTGGCCTCACATATTTGTATATTTCTAGTCTCAATAAATAACATGCTAAGTTATGTGCTATCAAATATAGTATTTATTCCAAACTTAAATATGGTAATTATATATTCCTTAATATAATGATATATTTAAATATCACATAAGATAATGAAATAGCACTTGACAACAAGAAATCGTCATTTTTAAGTAAACTAAACTGAGACTTGCCCTTGCATTAACAGTGGATGAAGTAGTAAAGACTTCCTCCTGGGAAAGACAACTACAAAAGCTTCAGCAGCTTACAGATATCAAGTCAATAAGACATTTCAAAGAAAAAAACTGAATCCGCAATATGGGAGAATACTGTTACACGGGTTATCCTAGAGTTAGACTTTCTCCTGGGGACACTTCTGAATCAAAGAGAAGGTTAGGAAACTGAAGCCACACTTGACAGTCTTGAGGGATTAGGGAGCTAGAGACTGGAGTCCAGGACTCATCAATAGGGAGGAAGGGAGCTCTAGAGAATGCCACTCTTGTGACATAAAAAGCATGCTACGCGTTGAAAGAAAACTAATAGTGAAAAGCAATCATAAATTCAGTTTTAAAGCCTTATTTTATTTAAAAATAAAAAATCTTCTCTGAAGGTCAGTATCATGAATCCTGAACTCTAGTTATGGCCACAAAATTTTCTCTCAAAAAAAAGGGGGGGGGCAGCAGTTAGCCTAATGGCGATGTCGCTGGACTCCCATGCAGTCGACTGAGGTTTGAGTCTCGACCCGGTGGCTTAAACTCACGCTGGGCATGTGTGCATGTGTGCCCAAGATCCTGAGAAAAGAATGGAAGAGAAGGGATTGCGGGATGGCCATCCCCTTCCAGAGGGTGATTTCTCGCTTTCTATCCCTCTGTCTTTCTGGCAAGCGCACGCACGCACCCTATAGCAAAAACCTCTCCAAAAAAAAAAAATTTGAGGGGACTAGCAGGTAACGTGGTGGTTAAGGTGCTGAACATGCCCACGTGTTCAAGAGTGATGCAAGTCCTGGATCTGGTGGCTTGCAGTCCCATTTTCCCTCCCCTCCCTCTCTCTGCCTCTCTCTGATCAAATTAAAATAAATGAATGACTAAATAAAATTGAATAAATAATTCTTAAAAAATAAATTCAATTGGAGCCAGCAGGTGTTGTGGTGGTTAGGGGGCACTGGACCACTACATGGTCAACTGTAGTTCGAGTTCTGTATATGGCAGCTTGTTTTCTCACTCCCCTCCACCATTCTGTCCCTCTCTGGTCAAATTAAAATAAATAAATAAAGTTAAATTTAAAAAATTCTTAAAAAAAGAAAAACTGAATTAACATAAAACTGATACCAGTCCTAGATACATATTGAAAACAGGGATTGAGATACTTGTATCCCATTGTTCACAGAACAATTATTCAAAATTATTAAAAGTTAAAAAACCCTCAAGTGTCCAGGATCAGCAGATGGTATAATAGTTATGTCGCTGGACTCTCATAGTTGACTATAGTTCGAGTCCTGGACCTAGTTGCTTTGAACTCATGCCGGGTGTGTGTCTATGTGCGCCCGAGTGTTGCCATTACCACCTCTGACCCGGAAGACTTTCTGTCTCTCTGCCTCTCTCAAACCTCCAAGTGTCCATCAACAGATGAATGGAAACAAAGTGTGGCATATAAATATACACATACAAGAGAATATGATTCAGCCTTAAAAAGGAATGACATTCTTGGGGTCGCAGGTGGGATAGTAGTTAAGACAATAGATTCCCATGTGGCCAACCATGTATCAAGCCTCAGCCTTGGCAGCTTGCTTTCTCTCTCTCTCTCTAGTCAAATTGAATAATAATAATAATTAATAAAATTAAACAAGTAAATTTGTATTTATTTATTTTTTAATTTTAAAAATTATTTTATTATTATTTTTTTTGGAGAGGTTTTTGTCATAGGGTACGTGCGTTCACCAGACAGACAGTGAGAGACAGAGAGACAGAAAGCGAGAAATCACCCCCTGGGGGGATGGCCATGCCATAATCTCTTCTCCTTCATTCTCCTTTCGGGATTTTGGGCACGCACGTATACATGCCCGGCATGAGTTTAAGCCACTGAGTCCGGGACTCCAACCATGGTCAACTACATGGAAGTCCAGTGACATGGCCATTACGCTATCTGCTGGTCCCATAAATAAGTAAATTTTTTGAAAAAGAATGAAGTTCTGATGAAAGATACAATGTGGATAATCACTGACAACATGCTAAAATGAAATAGTCCAGGCATGAAAAATATAATTCTCTTTATATGAAGAATCTAGAATAAGTCAATTCATACAGGCAGAAACTAATAGAGTATGAGAAACAGAATTATTGCTTAATGGGTATAGAGTTTCTGATTGGGGTGATGAAAGTTCTGAAAAGAGTGTAAATGCAATTAATGCCAGTGAATAATACACTTTAAAATAGATAAAATGGTAAATTTTATGTTATGCCTGTTTAACACAATGAAAATTTTAAATTAAAAAAAAAAAAAACTAGATAAAATACGACTTTAAAAACACTTGTGTAGACTTAAACATTAAAACGGACAAATTTAGAAAAACTGTAGATATATTCATATTTTTCTGTGATATTTGTAAGTAAGGAAATAAGTAGCTAAATATCCAAAAAATCAGTATGTATATAAAAGATATAAATGATAAGCAAATTAGCCCAGTTCAAGAGCTCTGTACCCAATAACTATAGACTATACTTTTTTTTTAAGAATTATTTTATTTAACTTTATTTATTTATTTTAATTTGACCA